CACAGAGTGTGTGCAGCCCCACAGTGGCTGTGCAGCCCCACAGAGTGTGTGCAGCCCCACAGAGTGTTTGCAGCAGATCCCCAGCTGTGGTCTTATCTTAAACATCTGGAGCTCCCTCAGGCCTCAGTCTGTTGGTAGAAAAACCACCTGGCAACATCCAGTGTCAGGGGACGAGCCACAAGTTGTGGAAGGAAGTCACATTGGTTGGCCAAAGTGGTCAGCACCTGCCTGCCCTGGGAATGACGCTCCAGAGGAACCAAGGGCCTGAACAAACTGCTGTCCCCAGGTGTCACAGATTGCACAGGTCATGAGGCTGTCTGCTGGCTAAACTGGAGGAAACAGACCCTTCCACTCTCTGCTCTCCTGCCCTCCGGCTCCCAGCTCTCCCGAGGCAGTTCTGCACCAGTGCCTCAGCCCCCAAGGTCGTGCCGTTGCCCAGGGACCTTGGCACTTGAAGACATGCTCATGGCTTGGTTTGGCAGCATATCCATGAGGGAAAGGATTGCGTTCAGGAGTTAGTCAGAACCCAACCCGAACCGGCAGTTAGTCAGGGTGGGTCTGCACTGCCCTGTCTGGGTCCGTTTTAATTGCAGTGGCCAGGGATGCGCAGCTGCAGATGAGAGCCATCCGTTCCGGACTCAGCCCTGGCTGCACTTACCTTGAGCCCTTCAGAACTGGGCTAACTCAGCTGCACCGCCATTCAGTTGGTGGCACGCATAACTTTTGTTTCCCTCATGCTGCATCCCATGTGGGCTCTCTAGACACAGCTGCCCTGCTTCCGGCCCTTCCCACCCCACAACAGAGCTGGTCATCCACGTATCTAAAGATTCCTTGCAAGGCTGTGGCCTCTGGGAAGGGGAGCAGGAATCAAACCAGAATGTGTTCCTGGAAGATGTAGGGGGCAGAAGTCTTCCAGGATTACCAAATCCTGCCTTCCGCAGGCTGTTCACGCTGCCTGCAGGCTCCTCACACTTAGAGATGGGTGTGAGGAACCCCGAGAATTCTTCAGCTCCTAGCTGAGCAAGATGTCAATCCACCACTGCTGTCACCAGCACAAGGCATCCTGGCAAGAGATCTGCGGGTGCTTCACTGTGATCTAACAAGCCGTGGGGGTGGGGACGGCTCGGATGTTCTGTCCCTCCAGCCAGCCAACATTGTGGGTGTATTTATTCGCATCCTAGGGGATGGCCGTGTCTGTGTGTGACCAGGGACAGGACCCCAAATTAATGACACTCTGTTCATTCTTTGACCTCCAAGGGTGAGCTTATTCAAGCCCTGTGTTGCTTCAGTGCCTGGTGTTTTAAGGGAAGTCTATATACCTTTTTGTCCCTTTCTGTCGAGTGGCAAATATCTGTATTTGTCAAACACCATTGAGTCCATATGAACAGCTGGGAGTTGCCATTGAGAGTGCAGGTGTACATAGATACTGTGTGTGTGTGTGTGTGTGTGTGTGTGTGTGTGTGTGTGTGGTCTTTGGCTGAGCATCACAGAGTCCTCCATGGGCTGATTATGGTGATTTATGGGAATGTAGCTCAACTGCTAGAGCACTTGCCCACCGTGCAAAAAGCCCCGGGTTCCATGCCCAGTGCCACATAAGCTGGGGATGGTGGCACACATCTGTAATCCTAACACTTAGAAGGTGGAGGCAGGAGGACCAAGAATTCAAGGCTGTCCTTGGCTACATCACAAGGTCAAACCAGCCTAGGATAGATAGGTGAGATCCTGTTGCCTTGTGAGTGCAGAAGGTAAGGGCTGGGTTAGGCAGGAGTGAGAACACCCGAGCTGTTCCCCTCTGTCCTGGGGGGTCTGGCACAGTTGGCTCTTCCTGTGTCTGTCCACTTGGGAGAGCTGGGTAAGGGGACTCCAGTAATCACCATGGCTTCTGCTGCCCACCCGTGCCTGAGTGAGGAGCCCGAGTCCCCAGGGACAGTTAGACTTCTGAGTCACTATGATAAGCCCCAAAGGAGTAAGGGTTTATTTTGGCTCATAGATCATTTTAGCCCAAGGTCACTTGACGGTGTTGTTTGTGGGCCAGAACTGAGGCAGAACGTCAGGGCAGGAGCATGGTGACCCAGAAGTGGAATTAAATAGGCAGGGAAGGGGCAAGAGACAAACACGTCCTTCAAAAGCACACTCTCAGGAACCTGCTTTCTTCAGTGAAGACTGACCTCCTCCTTCCGCCTCGGAGAATATTCTCTTATTATAAAGTCACTAAGGGAGTAATGCATCATGACGTGAGAGCCTTCAGGACACAGTTCCCCAAAGGCCACCAGCTGGCAACCCAGCCCCCAATGCCTGAGTCTGCAGACAGACTCCACTCATGGCATCACAGGTCAAGCCACTGCCACGCTGAGGGCCCGGGCCAGGGCTTGTGACTCGAGTATGTCCCCACGCTCTGTCCTATAGAAAGGAACTTGGGGGTCTGAGCCTTTGTCAGGTAGGAATGGCAGTGGGAACGTCCAGGAGCAAGAATGTGGGGTTCCCCATCCCCGGGGGAAACTGCCTTGGTCTTATGGAGACTGGCAGCTGCCCCAGAGAACGGGAGACATCCAAACAAATGCCTGTTTAAAGATGCTGAGACCCTTTATGTTTTTCTCTGTATCAAATGTAACATTGGTTTGTTTTGTTTTTTAACAATAAACTTGTTTATTTGCCAAATTTCAAGTTTCTTCCTTTGGGGCATGGAGTGAAGAGCGTGTGAGCCTGGCTCATGTGACAGTGGAGGGGACATGGGGCAAAGATACTGCTGGTTAGTGCTTGCCAACCAGATGCAGGCTGGAGTTTCCAGGGAAGAGAGAGACCATCTTGTGGTTCCCTGGGGCACCTCCATGCTCATAGACACACATGCACACACACACACACACACACACACACACACACACACACATCATGTGTGCACACACAGACACACACAATGCATGCACATACATTCATGTACATAAATGATTTTTTTTCTGAGATGGGGCTTCTCTGTGTAGCCCTGGCTGTCCTGGAACTCACTCTGTAGACTAGGCTGGCCTCGAACTCAGAGATCCACCTGCCTCTGTCTCCTGAGTGCTGGGATTAAAGGCGTGTGCCACCACTGCCTGGTCATAAACAACTTTTTAAAAAATGTGTTCTTTTGGAATGCAAAAAATGCTACTCAGAACACAGTTGACTTTACATATCCACCACACGAAACAACTATGACAGAACTGAAACTAAGAAAAAAATGCTCCTCCCTCATGCCTCCTGTGACCTTTGGCCTACAGTCCACCCTCTCTTATCACCTAATATTCTCTTGATCTCCTCTTTAAATTTTAGACTATATGTAGCGATTCCTTTTACACATGCGCATGAATACATTACCCGCTGTGACTGGAATGTGACAGAGAACATGTTTTGGAGCACCTTGTGTAATGTTATACTTTCCAGGTCTATCCATTTTCCTGAACACAGCTCACAATTTCGTTTGTAAACTGCTTGAGGAGCGTTCTGTGTATAAATACACCACATTTGCATCATCCATCCGTCTGTGGATGGACATCTGTTCTGGTTCCATGTCCTTGCTCTTGTGACTAGTACAACAATAAACACGAGCGCACAAACATTTTTGCAATAGAGCATGGAGATTGTTGGTCAATGCCCAAGAGTGTGATGAGTGGGCCATAGGTCAGTTCTCCAGTTTTGGAGGAACCTGTAGTGGGAGGCTGCAGACAGGGTAAGATGGTTTTGAAAAATTTCCTGCCTCTGAAAATGGTCTGTCAGTTACTCTAGGCCTTAGCCAAAGTTGCTTGCTCCAACGTTTCAAATGAGACTTTGGGTGGTTGCTCAGGTAGCCAGTTGTCTCTGTCATTTGTTGCACATTTTGGAAGTTGCTTTGTTGCACTTCCTGCTTACTCAAGTAATATTATTTCCCTTCTTGGGTCTTCATTGGGTTTAAAACTAGATAGTTGTATTTACTTTCCTCTCATGACTTGGCCAAGTTATTTATATACAAGACTTAAACTCATTAGAATAGGATAATTATTGAAACATTTATCATATGTTTCTTGCTTAATATTGTTTATGCTGGTTGTAATTCTCATTTTTATACCTGATATTTGTTCTTATTGTATATAACTTTGTATTAGGCTTAGAACTTTCTTATTTAAACAAAAGGGGGAAGTGCTGTAGGAATTCCTACTGCCAGTAGCCTTTAAGCTACCCGCCCACTTGGGCATGGTCTCTTATACTATATATGTCGATGTAAAGTGCACATCTGGCCTCTCTTTTCCAGCTGCAGGATTCGGTTGCTGTTCCCTGTTCCAGCAGAGGATTTTGATCTGTGAGTCTACCCTAAATAAATAACCCTCTATTATACCCAATCCTGAGCTAGAGTGGGATTTCTTTTAAGTGTCCTTCTTCAGGAACCTCCAAGCTGATCTCCATACTGGCTGCATTGATTTGCACCCCAGCAGTGAATAAAGGTTCCCTCCCCACATCTTTCCAGCATTTGTTGTCAGACTTCTTTTATAAATGATAATTTTATTAATTCTTTGTGAATTACACACATGTATTTTGATGGAATCCACCCTCTAACTTCCCCTGAATCACATCTACTTCTCCACCTCTCCCAACTTTGTATCTTTTGAAAAATTATTTTTAAATTTTGCATGTAGTAGTTGCCTGCCTGTTTTTCTGTGTACCCATGTGTGTAATACCCAAGGAGGCCAGAAGAGGGCATCTGATCTTCTGGGTCTGGCATTACAAACCATTGTGAGTGACTATGTGGGTACTGGGAGTTGAACCCGTCCTCTGGAAGAGCAGTCAGTGCTTTTCACTGCTGAGCCATCTCTCCAGCCCGTGTATCCTCTTTTTTTTTGTTTTGTTTTGTTTTTTTGTTTTGTTTTTTTTGTTTTGTTTTTTTTTAGTAACCCACTGAGTCCAATTTGTGCTCCTAAATACTCATGGGTGGGGTCATCCACTGGGTCATGGTCAACCTACTAAGGGCCACACCCTTAAAGAAAACTCTCCGTTCCCCAGAAGCCATCAACTGTCAACAGTGGGAGTGTGTACTGGACAGTTTGAAGTCAACAAACCAGAGTCATCAGAGAGGAATGAGCATCAATTGAGAAAATACCTCTATAAGATTGGGTTTTAGGTAAGCCTAGAGGGCATCTTCTCAATTAGAGATTGCCCGGGATCTAAGATTGAGTGGATCAACCTTAGGATGGTGGTCCTGGGTTCTATAAGAAAGCAGGTCGAGCAGTCACCAGGAGCAAGCCAGTAAGCAGCACCCCCTGTGGCCTCTGCATCAGCTCCTGCCTTCAGGTTCCTGCCCTGCATCACATGGAAGTAGCAATCCTAACTAAGACAGTGTTGTGGGTTTCTTGGCGATAGCCGTCTTGAGTGGGATGAGGTGGCATCTTGGAGTAATTTTAATTTGCATTTCCCCAGTGACTGGGGATGGTGAGCCCTTTAAAATAGTTCTTGTTTCTGTGTGTGTTTCTTCTGTTTACAGCTCTGCTCGATTCATTAGCCCATCTGTTGTTCCGCCATTTTATTTCCTTGATGTTTCATCTCTGCAGTCCTTGATGAACTCTGGATAGGAGCCTCACCCGAGGTCCAGCTGACCAAGGCTTTCCCCGCGCGGTGGGCTGTGTGACGGTTCCACTGGCGTTGCCTTTGCCACGCAGGAACTTGTTTTCACGTTGTCCTGTGTGTTGATGCTTGAGGCTGGTTCCTGTGCCATTCCTGTTCTATTCAGGTAGTTCTTGCCTACCCCAGGGCCTTGAGGAATAGTCCTTATGTTTTCCTTCAGAACTTTTAGCATTTCAGGTTTTAAATTAAGGTCTTTAATCACCTCATGTTCATCTTTTCACAGAATAAAAGACATGAATCTAATTTCATTTTTCTGTGGGTGGAAACCCAGCTTTATCGGCATTTCCTCTTGACTAGAACATCTCCTTTCCCACCACCTCACATGTTTGGCCTCCTTTGTCAAAAATTAGGCTCCCATAGCTTTGTGGCTTGATTTTGGCATCTTCTGTTCTCTTCTATTGGTCTAAATGCCTGTTTCATGCCAAATCAAATTGTGTTTGTCACTGTAGCTCCGTAGTATAATTTGAGATCAAGTGTTGTGATATAACCAGCTATGTTCTTACCTCTAAGGACTGCTTTGGCTCTTCGTGATTTTTTGTGGTTCTACATGAATTCTTTGGCCATTTTTTTTTTTTTAGATCTGTGAAGAATGTTGTCAGAGCCAGGCACAGAGGCAGCACTTGGGAAGCAGAGGCAGGTGGATCTCTGAGTTCGAGGCCAGCCTGGTCTACAGAGTGAGTTCCAGGACAGCCAGAGCTACACAGAGAAACCATGTCTCGGAAAAAGAAACATTGTCAGAATTTTAATGAGTACTGCATTGAGTGTTAACTGTGGTCTCTGCAGCCTCCATGGCTAGCAGAGTGACTGTCTGTGGGATGGGCAAGAAAGAAGTTTGGTTTGACACGACCAAATAACCAGTTTGGGTTCAAACTTCAGAAATCTGACCCCTAGTGGTTTATTTTAGGCGTATTTAAGCACAGCACAATTTGATGAAAACTTTTCTGGTGCTAATTAATTTAGTCTCACGTGTACAACAAAGCACACAGAAATCTCTGACGAACAAAGTAGGCTAAATAAAGACCAGACGTGACTACATTAAAACTCTTTGTGAAGTGCATGGGACACCGGCCGTAAAGAGGGGTTCTATATATTGACTGGGGGAGAAAAACCAAGCTCACCATAAGAATCTGGGAGGTTCCAGTGTGGTCTTGGCCACACAGGGAGACCAAAGGTCACCAAGCTATTTAAACCACATCCACTCCTAGCCTTCTGGGTGGATAACAGATTATGTATCCATTCCTTGGAAGGAACAATCCTGCATGATTAACGTTCTCGGTTCGCCTACTGCTTAACTGTGAGCACAGGACTTCTGTACTCACTACAACGATCTAGGTTAACTTTGGTAGTAGAGCCATTTCATTATTTTAACTCTGCCAATCCAGAACCATAGGTAGTATTTCCATTATCCAGTTTCTTCTTCGTTGGTTTCTTTCTTTTCTTTGTGTGTGTGTGTGTGTGTGTGTGTGTGTGTGTGTTTTGAGAAAGGATCTCTTTATGAAGTCCTAACTGTTCTGGAATTTGCTATGTAACCAGACTGGCCTTAAACTCACAAATATCTGTCTACTTCTGCCTCCAGAGTGCTGGAATTAAAGGCCTGTGCTACCATGCTCAGCTTTGGTTTCCTTTCCAATATTGATGTTCTCTCTCTCTCTCTCTCTCTCTCTCTCTCTCTGTGTGTGTGTGTGTGTGTGTGTGTGTGTGTGTAAAGGCACACAAAGTGTGAAGACAACTTATGGAAACTTAGTTCTCTCCTTCCACCATACGAGTCCCAAGAATTGAACTCAAACCATTAGGCAAGTACCCACCAAGTCGTCTACCCCGGTCTGATGTTTTCCTTTAGTCTCTAAGGCCAAAGGCCTAAATGCCTTCTGGTTCCTCAAAACTTCCAGGGCTGCCACAGCCACTCTGCTCTTACCCGCTTTTGATTTCCTATAGCTATTGTGTCTTCATGCGCTGTGCTGGAGGGGAGCTTCACAAACCCTACGCTGCCTGGGGGGCGGGCTGCATGTGTCTTAGCTATGAGTGACCGAGCAGGCTGGCCAGTACGGGTGTGAGACATAGGAGCCCCTGGAGCCCGACCTCGAGTGGCAGAGGCAGACGGTGCCCGTGCACACAGCCCCACTGTGGGGAGTGTCCAAGAAAGAATGTTCCAGGGACAGACAAATGGGCTTCCCCTCGCTCATTTCTTGCCCTTCTCTCAGCACCCCCCCATCTGCAGTCTCCGGGTGTCCTGTCTCTCTTCCCTTCCCACCCTAAATTTCACTTAGTGGCTTCCTATAGGGATGTGTCCCCAGGTACAAGTCAGCTCCGTGGAGCAGGCAAGTAGTCCAGGGCCTCCCCTGGGCTGGACCTCAGGATACCTGGGTCTGCCACCCCTGCCCCAGGAGTTAGTGTTAGTGTTCAGGCATCTGCACTGGCCTGCCCTTCGGGTCCTGACAGGATCCGGCCTCAGCTGCAGCCACTAAGCGCACCTCCTGTGCCCGTTCACTATGTTCCCCTTTAAAAGGTGGGCCTTGCGCTCCTCTTCCTCCTCCTTTTCATCCTCTTCCTCCTCCTCTTCTTCTGGTCCCGTCACCAGAGGCTGGTCTCCCCCCTCTCCTCCCCTCCCCACTTTTTTCCCCCCATTCCCTTTCCTCCAATAAAAAACCCCTCCATGTGAGTTCTCATATGGCGTATGTATTTTTCTCTTGTGCCATTTTTTAAAATTACAGTTTTAGTGAGTATATAAGAGAACAGAAGAACACACCCTCTGGCTTTCCCCAAATCTGAGTCAGGGTCCTGAGTGCCAGGCGTCCAGATTGCCTCACTCACCGCTTTCATTTATTTATCTGCCTTGAGTGAAGATGAAGGAAGAGAGAGAAAGAACAGAACCACGGGCAGGAAGAGAAGCCTTGTGTCAGGGAGTATAGTGGTCATGGCTTTGACTTCCCAGCCCCCCTCTCTGCCCTGATTTCAACTCTGAGCCCTTCTCAACAGGGTGGAAGCCCTAAACCAGTTATATTTGGATCTTCTCCCCTGGTCACAGATACCCAGGGAGGGGGGGAGCAGCAGGCTACTTAGCCCCCATAGGTGTCCTGCCCTGCCCTTCCCTGCCCTGCCCAGTAACTTTCCCTCCATCCCATCTCAACTGGATCTGAGGGAAGCTGATACCACAAACAGCCCTTGGCCCTAAACAAGGTTTGAGCCATCGGTGGGCATCCGTCCTGTGCAGGTCTGCTCCCTGCCGGTCCTTTCCTTTATTTCAGAAAGGAGTAGAAGAGGCCCCGGCACCCCCGCCCACCAGAGCATTCCTATGAGGATATGCTGAAGGCTGGGCTAGGACTGAGCATTTCCCCTGACATGAGACGGAAAGCACATTTCTCTCTTTGACTAAGAGCTGGTCCTGTGTTTCAAACCTGAAGAGCAGGCAGCCAGTCTCTTTTCTCCCCCATTGATTGCTGGCCCCAGAGAAGGAAGCCCAGCCGACAAGGGTCCTGAGTCTCCAGCCAGCCTTTGGTGCCCAAGGCTCTGCCCACGCCTTCCCTTGCCTGTAAACCAATCCATCCGGCTTCTTTCCCAGCTTAAACTGCTTTGAACTGGATTTTTTCACTCCTAAGGAAAGAACCCCTGGACAATGGAGCAGACAGACACAGAACAGAACTTATCCCCAGCCCAGAGCTCCACCGCCAGGACACATCCCCAGTCCAGGAGAATGTTAGGGACTTAGGGTTCTTCATATTCATGTTATATTGAGTTTATGTATTTATTTATCTTATTTTTGCAGGGCTAGGGGTTAACCCCAGGGCTGTGTGCATAAAGAAAAATAGGTTTGTTGTTATTGTTTGCTTTTGAGACAGGATCTCACACAGCCCAGGCTGGCCTTGAACTCACCATTTTCAGAGTACACACCTTAGGCACAGGCAACCACTCTAGTTTATACAGCATTGTGGATTAAACCCAAGACTTCAAGCCTGTTGGGCAAGCATTCTGCCAACTGAGCTATATCTCTACAGAAAAACAGAATTCTAGTCTCTGTCCTAGAAGTCCAATGATGTGGGGATCCCAAAGCCGGGCGCTGGCCACAGAAGGAAGAGGAGAAAGAGATGGTTGTGTCCTGAAGACCCCTGCCAGGAGAAAGGACCAGGGCAGAGCATGGGCCTCTCAGGCAGGCAGTTGGAAGCGCATGTCTCAGGTGGGAGACACGTGAGGTCCTGAACTGCCAGACAGGCTGGTTCTAGGTGGGCAGCTTGGGTACGGAGGCTGAGAGAGGGCAGACTCACACAGCCTTGAAGGCTGTTCAGTCTTCTCCGACCGGGTCACCCCATAGACTTGGAGACATGGAGGTACAAGGGGTGGGAGACCGTCTCCCAGACAAAAACCGTATCCAGAGTGGTTAGAAGTGAGTTTGCCCTAAAACAGTGCTAGAGCGGCAAATGAAATTCAAATAGGCCTGGCAAGAAGGCTCACCATCGTCTGCCGGTCAAACCTGACAGCTTTGTGTTCCTTCTCTGGAACTCATGTAAAGGTGGAAGGAGAGAACTGACCCCACAAAGCTGTCCTCTGACCTTCGCACATGCAAATAATAAAAAATAAAATACAAAAACCGTATCAGAAAAACCGGGCCTGAGAACTTGCCGATCACGCCACATGTGTGAAGGGATGATGTCGCCTCCCTGGACTCCATGGTGAGGAGGGCACTTGCCACTGAGATGGATGTTTCCCCTGACCTGTGATCTCACCACCTGATGTGTGTCAAGGGACTGACAGGCAGAGAACTTCCTACTGTCCCCAGGGCTCCAGCTCAGCTCGGTCCCCCTGCTTGAGTCTGTCTGTGTAAACTGCTGGCTCACCACATTGCCGCCCTTTATCCCGGCTTGTTTCTGTGTCTCATGCCCACAGTCCAACCCTCTGCAGCCCAGCTCCACTCTGAGGTGGACCCCCAGCAGCTCTGTGGGTCCCCAGCACCCCTCTGGCTGGGTTCATGAGCATCTTCTCTTTGGGGCTGAAGGAGCACGAGTCAAGAGAACTGGTTGAATTTATTGTGACATTGTAGGAAGATACAAATGTGTTTGTCGATGTTTTCGGCATGGCTTGCTTACACCAGGAGGGGTCCAGCCGGTGCCGCTGTGCGAATGCTCGGGGACTCAGGGACGGGTGATCTGCCCCTCAACACACCGTTCATTCACTCATTCATGCATTCTTCCCCCTGGAACGCTTCAGTTCCAATGGTGGACGCT